ATAGGTGTTGACGGCGCTGAGGGCGCGTCGTTGGTTGGCGATTTGAGGTCGGGCTCGCCGTTCGCCCAAGCCACGAATTCGAGCGACGGGTAGTCGGACTTTCCGTCCAGGACGGCGGCGTGCGCGTGATCGAGACGTGTATAGATGATAAACACAATGGCGATGACCTTGCGATGCTTCTCTCCTGATGGTCGGATCTTCTTGTCCTTGCCCATGACGACGCTGTCAATCTTGCCGTATTTCGCAAACATGCTCGATATCTTGTCTTTGTCCCAGTTTGTAGCGTCGCCTTCTCGTTGGAACCGGACCTTGACTGTGCGATCGATCTCGGCGGAGTCTCCAGGCTTGGGTGCCTGTGGCTCAGGGCTTACGTCCACGAAGCTTGCCTCATCCTCTTCTTTGCGCTTCTTCTCCATGCGCTCTTGTGCCTCCTTTCTGCGCCTCTTGCCGTCTTCTGCTAATCTTTGTATCTCCTGTTCTCTCCTTTCCGCCTCGTTCATATCTTCTGCCCTCTTCCTCTTTAGGTTGTTCATGAAGTCCTTGCCCTCTCGCTCCCTCCTTTCCAGGTCATCCTTCATTTTGCGCCGCCGACCGTCCAGAAGCTCATCTTGGAGCGCTTTCTCCCGCCGCCTGGTACGCGCGCGGTCATATTCGCCCTTTAGCTTCTCGTCTATCAGGATATCTCGAGCCCATCCGAGGTAAATAAAGCGATCCGCAGCATCTTTGTTGTCGGGATTTTTATCGGGATGGTAACGAATCGAGGCTTTACGGTAAGCCTTCTTGATTGCAGCTTCCGGCGCATCGAATGCTACACCAAGCAACTCGTAGAAATCCTCCGTGGTTGATTTCGCGAGATCTTCAAGGTCCTTGTTGGTGTCGGTCATGGTGTCGGTATACCAAGGTATACGTGAGCAGTCTGGGGCCCAGAGCGGGACGTTGGCGCGTGGGATCGAGAGGGGAGAGCAAAGTCGCAAGTGGATGTGAATGGCGCAAGCGCGAGGCAGCCGCAGAAACATGTGAGATGATCGCCCACTAGCGCGTCTTCCGGCTTGGCGCATATTCTCGGAACGGCTACGAAATTTCGCGTTACCGCATACATCGTATTATATTTTGACAATCAAGTAGCACACAAGATGATGTATACTCCAGCCTGATTTTGGAAAATACATCTCTGTGTAGGCTGTAGGCAACACAAGTTCTGTTAACATCTAGTGGCCCCAATACCTCCCACCCTAGTAGCTAGAGCTCCGAGCTTCCTTCTATCACCCCGCTGATGCCAGTCGCGTCTTCGGTAAAGCGCGCCATTATGACTACTCCACCGACCGAGAGTCGCAAGGTGCTCGAAGGTATCTTCGCCATCAACAAGCCGCAATGGGCCTCCTCCGCCGGCGTCTTGCGCGACCTCCAAGATCACTTCTCTCGCTCGCCGCTATTCGCACCCTGGCTCGAAGCCCAGAAGCGCTCCCTCATTATCGCTGACGCTAAGCCCAAACACCTCAAGAATATCAAAGCGAAACTCGGTCATGGTGGTACCCTCGATCCAATGGCTACTGGCGTCTTGATTGTCGGCATGGGCAAGGGCACGAAATGCTTACAACGGTTCCTCGAGTGCACGAAGACATACGAATGCGTGGTACTTTTCGGCGCGGCGACAGACAGTTACGATGCTGTAGGCAAGGTTGTCGGCAAGGCGGAGTACGAGCACGTCACAAAAGAATTGGTAGAGGAGAAGCTAGCGCAGTTCCGCGGCAAGATCTTGCAAAAACCAAGCGTTTTCTCTGCGCTCAAGGTCGACGGAAAGAAGATGTATGAATACGCCAGAGAAGGCAAGGACATACCAGAGGTGGCTGCGCGACCGGTCGAGGTGGAGGAGTTGGAGCTTGTCGAGTGGTTGGAACCTGGAAGTCATGACTTTGCCTGGCCAAAAGAGGAAGTGGACGGTGCTGAAATGGAGGGCGCAAAGAAGCTTATGGGGATCCGAAAAGAAGATGCGAAAGTCTACTCCAACACAGCGGCAAGAAGAGGACGGAAACGATCGAGGTCACCAGAAAACGACCATGTCGAAGGCGCAGGGCAGCAACCGAAGATACCTAAGACAGACTCCGAGCCCGCCATGTCTGGCGCTTTACCAGCAGAGGTAGCACCCATGGAGGAGACCCCCGCGGAGAACGAAGTCACAGACCCCAGTGTCGAAACATCATTACCAACAGAAGAGAAGCCTGTAGCCTCAGTTGAACAAGCTGAAGCAACCGAGAACACATCAGCAACCACCCAGGATAACGCCGCTGAACCCACCGACGCTACTGCATCATCAGCTACATCTGCGCCCACTCCGCAACCCCCGGCAGCCCGTCTTCGTATGACAGTAACATCTGGCTTCTACGTACGCTCTCTTTGCCATGATCTCGGTCTAGCCTGTAACTCGCTCGGCCTCATGTCGTCTCTCATTCGCTCTCGCCAAGGCGACTACACGCTCGGCCAGAACGTCCTAGAATACACGGATCTGGAAGACCAATCGAAGTGGGAGCCCCAACTTCAGAAGCAGCTTGAAGAGTTCATGGAGAAGGAGGGTTGGCCAATTGAGGAACTGGACGACGACGAGAGCTGGGAGGGGAGGAAGAAGGATCTGATGGAGCAGAGGAAGGACAATGACCGAGAGAAGAGTTACAAGGGCGGTGGTAAGAAGTGGAACTCAAAGGGGAAGGGGAAGTATGGACGAAATGGGTACTCCAAAAACATGGACGGTGGACGGAAATGAGGGATTGGTACTACTATGACTTGCATTATGATACCCCATGAACCAATAAGAATGACTTTGGTATTTGGCTATGGAGAATTGTCAAAAGAATATATGTATGAACAGGTTGAGTATGCGACCCCGGTATGCAACATCAAACGTCCGTCCTCGAATTCCTTCGACTCAGACTCTGTCTTATACTCTGAAAGCCCCTCTGCACCTCCGTCACAGCATCATCCGCGCCCTGCAGTCCCTCTGCTTCATCTTTCCGATCCTCATGGTTGATGAACAAGAAGGAGAGCACCATGATCGCCGCGCCGACCCAATACAACGCCGATGCATACTGCGAGTCCAACAGCATCTGCCCAACCAAACTGCACGGAATGGTCAAACTAAGACCAACAGTGACAATCAGCGGGGAAGTAAGCAGCATGGCGTACGCCCAACAAAAGTCGGAGACGAGAGATGATGCGCTGTTGATGAGCACGATGTTGAGGATGCGCGATGTGGGCGGGAGCTCAAAAGGTTCTATGCCGGTAAGATGTAGGATAATGAATCCAGGCCAGAGTAGTAAGATGTTGGACAATCCAACAAGGCCGAAGAAGAGAGGCATGTTGACTTTTGTCTCGTCGCCAATTCGGGATTTCATGAAGACTGTGTAGAAACCGTATAGTACAGCCGACACAAAGGCCATGACGTCGCCAATAGCTAGTTCTTTTGGTGTCTTGTGCGGGAAGGAACCGCGGTTCTCATCTGTCTCGCCGGATACGTCGACCATGGAGATGAGGGCTACACCGCCGAGAGACGCGAGTACGCCGAGGAACTTGAGCAGCGTGAAGCGCTCGACGCGCATTATGGATCCCAGAAGTAGGGTCCAGATGGAGGACGTGGAAGAGAGGATGGTAGAGCTTGCGACGGTTGTGTACTCTAGACAGGCGGCCGCAAAGTAGTTTGCCAGGAACCAAAGCAGACAGAACTCCAGCGCCAGTTTCGCTGTATCTCTTATCGTCAAGCCGTCGTCCTCGTCCTGACCGCCAGTTTTCCCGGTTGCGAAACTTTGGGAGCCGTGCAGCGAGGATGATAGCAGGACTTCGGTTGCCTCGTCATTGCGCGCTTTGTTCGAGGCTGAGGTCGAAGAGGGGGTCTCGTGTTCGCGGAGGAGCTTCCATTTCCCTGCTCGCCGTTGCAAGAGGTCGCGTGCGTGGGCTAGGAGAGGTTGGCGGTGCTGCCGCGCGCTGTTGGGACGGTGACGATCGACCCATAGGTGGTGGAGGAACATGGGTAGGAGAGGGATGACGAAGAATGTTGTGTTTACGTAGGTTACAAGGTAGGGTTTCGAGTAGGAGTCGTCTGCGAATATTGTCTGTTGGCTTGTCAGCTATGCGCTTACCACTCCCTGTGCCATCCTAGGGGATGCGAGATACGTACACTCGCGAGGAAATTACTAGCTGTCCACAGTAGCACCGTCGCAAGTAAGAGGGCTATTCCTACTGCATGTCGCACTTTGCTCGTCCATAGTCCCTTCTTCTGTCCCTCAGCCCACTGACTGGCCTCGCTCGCTGGGCTCTCGAGGTAGTCTTCCCCGCGCAAGTATGCGCTCTCGTCGGAGACGTCGCTAACGCGTGGACTGAGCGGCGTCGTCTCAACATCTTCTTCCCTCCGAGGTATCATGTTGGCAGGGTGTAATAGAAATTATTGTAGGTGTATAGGACAGGTCCGTCAAGGAGGGTCTTCGGTGATAAGCGGGCTCACGGTCGGGGTACGTGTCGAGGCATGGAAGAATATGCGAGCGCCCATGAAATCAGTCGTTTGTCAAAGGCAGAGAAATATGCAAGTGATGGACTCGTGGCACGGGGTGGTTCGGCGTAACACGCGGACACTTGATAAGAGGGTGCTAAGTCCCGGGGGTTGCGAGTTTCATGTGTCCTCGTGTCTCAAAGAGGCCCGTTGACGGAATTGTGGCGGTGCCGCCTTAGCCACGGACCCACGTCATCACGGATACGCGGGCGGAAGGCACGCGTCTGATGGCACTCCAAGTAAAAGTACTGTTCATGTATGTATTCATATATTCTTAGGCAGCTATATCGACTAGGTGACAATGACCCCATCCGTGATGATAGATTACAGGAGTAAGAGATCCTCCTGCTCAAGAAGCATGTTCAACACCAAACTCCATGCGAACTCCAGATGCAAGACGGCATTGCGGCAGATGAGGTTCCACTGTCGGCTCTCATAAACGTCGCTTATTTCGTGATGGCATACACTAGCATGCGCAACCGCCTTCGCTGCCCTTGAGGTCGATCGGGATTGTCTCGGGGAAGTCGTTGCTGAAGTCACCCACGTCCTCCTGTGCTAGAGCTTGTCGTGCGATAACTACGGATGTCAGCTTCCGAAAGCGGGGATTCGGATGGCTCTAGGTCTGGCTTACCTTCGAAAGCTTGCTCGACGTTGATGGCCTCCTTAGCACTGGTCTCGAAGTACGGGATACCACCCTTCGATTGGCAAAATGTCATGGCGCGCTTGGACGAGATCTGGCGCTGTTAGCATGAAGCCTTGAACGGTCGCTACAGAGACACACCATCCTTTTGCTCTCCTCCACATCGATTTTGTTGCCAATGACAACCTGTCCGCGTCAGTACAGATGTACACCCAATCTACCCGTATGCACCTACAAATGGGAAGCTCTCAGGATCCATCGGGCTGGCCTGAACCAAGAACTCGTCCCTCCAGCTATCCAGGGTATCGAAACTCTTCGAGTTGTTCACGTCGTATACGAGCACGCAGCAGTCGGCACCGCGGTAGAAGGCAACACCGAGCGATTGGAAGCGCTCTTGACCGGCAGTGTCCCAGAGCTATCGTACGTCAGTAAGATCCAAGCGCGCAGATTCAAATGTACACACCTGCATGGTAACCAGCCTGTCGTCGACCAGCACTTCCTTGGTCAGGAAATCGGCACCAATCGTGGCTTTGTAGCTTGCGCTGAACTTCTTGTTGACCTGTAGAGACCGTATAAGCCAGTATTCATAGCCTCTAGCTATCAATCGTGTCGTGTATAGCTCTACGAGGGGTTCTTCGTACATATTGGTTCATCAAGCTCGTCTTGCCGACCCCGCTGTCTCCGAGGATAATGACCTGCGCGCATTAGCCGTGAAGGGCAGACCCCGTCGGGAACTGAAATACCTTGAGGAGGACCTTCTTCCTTGATGCCATCTTGTAGAGAGTGTGTGTAGGTAGGAAGACGAGGTACGGCGCGGTCGATTCGAGGCGCGAAGCTAGATGCTTCGAGGTGGTGCGGAGTTGGCTGCGCGGATACTAGGCCGAGGTAGAGGGTATGCGACGCCAATATCTGGGTCTTCAGGACGTTGGTCGAGTAGGGAAATCAATGCACTGCGTTTATGGCGCAGATACGGTGAGGATAGGTGCAGCTTCGTTGCCAGAGATCGATGATGGTTGATGTCAAGCTGGGCACGGACATGGCGCTAACCGCCCGTCCCATGGGTCTGAGTTGGTCAACCCACGCGCCCACCTGACACCGCATTCACATATACCGTCTACCCCCACCGCTGATCCACGACTGCCCCTGAAGGAGAGCTTTATCTATATCTCAAGCCATCAAAGTCGCTGGTGTCATCGCCAATCTCCAACTCAGCGCGACCGTGAACCTGACCGATACACCCAGGGCTACCAATAGATCGCCTAAGCGGTAAAGTTTAAGGCTGCCAGTACGGGCCTGCTTGCATGTCGCTCGTAGAACTAACTTTCCAGTGTCGGAATTCTGATCTAGGTGCCATTCTTAGACACTATACCCGCAGTCACCACATGCACAACTCCTCCTTTAGATTATTCAGACGACACTAAATAGGTAACTACGTTGTGTTCCTGCTCTGGAGATAAGCGGAAATATTCTTGAAAGCTCTTGAGATGGAAAAACGGCCGATCATCACAAGAAAGAACATCGTATGAAAGAATTGATGTGCAAGAGAATCTAGATGTTTTGCTCCTCAAGCATAGCACGAACACTTTGCTTTGTCAGACTACGCATGTTTAGTCTCTAATAGCAAACTTACACAGTCAAACTATCAGTAATCTACTAATTTTGGATGATTGCTGATCGAGTGAACTGGAAGAGACGCGTTTCGGCCAGTGAATGCAAACACGTCTTGGCACAGCGTCGATTTCACTACAACTGTAGCTTTAATAGTGCGTTCTTTCCTCGCCCCAGCCAATACCACTGATCCTTTCCGCATCAATCTAGAGCGTCACAGCTCCAAAGATCAATCCTTTGCCATGGCGAACGCGGATCCCCTTCACTTGCATTTCATGGCGCTCACTAATATTGGAGGCACATTGTCCGAGCAGGAGCGTGTACAGCTGATCAGTAGGTCGCTAATCGCCCCAAACGCTCTTTGTATACGAGAGAAAACTGACATGAGTATCTAGATACGCTGGTATTTCTGGTCCGTACTGAGTATCCTTCAGTCGCCAGTGTTCGCGACGTCAACCTGGTCACTATCCAAATATCATCCGACAGATATCGCATCGACGTAACATCCCGCAAAGGAACGATCATCTTCGGGTGGGACGTAAGAACACGCATTGAGGTGCTCGAGGGTCTCCGTGATGCCATAGAGAAGCGAGCAGCGCAAGTGATCTTAGATACGAGCGGGCCACGGAACGGACGTGTGCTTGCAAAAGACCAGCCAAAGTCCCACAGACAAGACCCTAAGGCGTCATCGGATGGTCTGAAGCATGAAACTGACAAGTTTCTTACAAAGAAGGCCGATGGCGATTTTGCAAGTCAAGACGCCATGCTCGTGAAGGACGACAACAATTATCAGACCCGGATACCTTTTCGCGCCGGTCCAAAGAGAAAGGCGCAAAATCAGAACGAGCGCACAAGGAAGAAATCCAAAAGAAATGACTGCGTCATGAATGACGAAATACTTGGCGAAACAGAAGAGGAAAGGATGTCAGACCATGAAGGACATGAGGAAGCGATGGACAGCCACATCGAAGGCGAACCAGAGGACATAGAAGAAGAAGACCCGCCTCTATCTGTCAGTGCTGTGCTTGCGAGACATGTAGCTGGAGAGCGAAGGGGTCGAAAGTGGAGAGGCCGTACGGCTGACATGCCGATGAGGCACGATATGGATGGCATTGCTGAAGGGAACGTGTCCGATGACGAGCAGGTCATCATTGGAGAGGATGACGACTTCTGGCGCGAAAGGTAGATACTGTGCAGTCAGCAGGCGGAAGGCCACGCGAGTGAAGGATGTTTGGCGGTGGTGTTGGGTAGCAGCTGTTTAGGTAGCGGGAATGCGAAGCCCGGCGCTAGCAGCCCAGCAGTCTCGATCTCTCCGCGCGCATGTCCATTGCTTCCCTACTCGTTCCAATGCAGTTCCCTTGCACAGCGTTGGAATTATACTCCTTGCTACACGAGTTCTGTTGATCGAGCTCGATGGGTCGTGATGGCTTCCCCATCCTGCACCGTAAACCATGGTCTCTTCGCAGCTTCCCCGTGCGGGGATCCGTATGATAGCCACGGTCTTGGTTGACGACCAGCCGCAACGCAATTGTATATGACAGCGCATCGGGGTTGAAACTCACTTCTGTCTTTTTACCTCTCATTTCTCCTACCACGCACAGTGTTACTCGGACGATGTCGCAAACTACTACTACCGGAACCGAGACGATGCGCCTGCCAGCAACGATGAGAGCATGGCAATGGTCAACATGCGATACCACGCTCGAGAAGGCAATAAAACTCAATGATTCAGTACCGCTACCGACAGCCAAGCGGCCACTCGCAAGCGGAGAATCTCTGATTCAAGTTCACGCTGCTGCTCTGAACCAGGTCGACTACAAGCTTGCAGAACTACCCATCGTTGGGCGAATGGCCATCCCTAAACCAGCAACACCCGGACTTGATTTTGCTGGAAGAGTCGCTGAAGCGGGACCGAATTGCGACCTCACGGTCGGGCAAATGGTTTTTGGCAAGCTCGAGCCGAAGCAACAGTTTGGCACGTTGGGCGAATACATCATCGGTTCAAAAGCTGGAACGGTGCCTATACCTGATGGTGTCTCAGCGGAGCAAGCAGCAACGCTGGGAGTCTGTGGTCTTGTTACATATCAGTGCCTCGCACCGAATGTGAAAGCCGGTGACAGAGTACTAATCAACGGTGGTTCAGGTGGTACGGGTACTTTTGCCATTCAGATCGCAAAAGCTCTGGGATGCTATGTCACAACGACCTGCTCCGGTAAGCGTCCCACAGTCGAGAAAGTAACGCATTTTCTGATCCCTCACAGGCGCAAATGCTCAGCTTTGCAAGGATCTTGGGGCCGACGAAGTCATCGACTATCGCCAGAACGATGTACCTACCATTCTGGCAAGCAGCTCAAAACACTATGACATGGTTCTCGACAACATTGGACATCAGTTTGAGCTATACTGGAAATCACCCTCCTTCACAAAATCTGCAGCGAAGTACGTCCAGATCGGATCTCAAGTGAGCCTACCCTTTATCTACGATCTCGCATTCCGCTTCCTGGTACCGACGTGGCTTGGAGGTGGGCAACGGCGATTCTCTTTCGGTCTTGCTTCTACGAACTTCGAAGACTTCACGAAGTTGGGAAAGCTTGTTGCGGACGGAAAAGTGAAGCCTGTCGTGAGTGAGGTGTATGCTTTCGAGCATGTACCCAAAGCTTATGAGAAGCTCAGAACAGGTAGAGCGAAGGGAAAGCTGGTAGTCAAAGTGGGAGCGAGTTGAACGATTGGCTGAAGTGAAAGCAAAGCGTGCCACCCTCCAGATCTGAAGCGAGGGCAGATTGTGGGAACTTGTCGTTCGATGGCCGCAGTTGTGTTCGCGCCTGGAACCGAATTGCTTGCTGCGTGCAATCTGTTCAGCCTCAGTTCGCAGAACCTCCCAATGGGGGATTAGTGCGCGAAAACGACAATCTGGATAAGAAAAGGACCGTTGTTGCCATTCGCTCAGTTGGGGTGGACGCGCTCGTGGCGGCGCTAAGGTTGTTTCAGGCAACGAGGAGGCTGTGTTGAACGCCGATCTGCCCTCAGCTGTGTATACCAATACGAGCATACAATCTACCAGGTTCCATATGGATCGATTCCAATATTTCGAAATTGACTTGTAGCAGTTAAGAGAGAATGCAGGCAGCCCATTACTAACAAGAAGCATGCTGACCATCGCGCATATCACGGAGATACTGTGACGCGCCTACATTACCCGAATACCTCTACCTTGGAAGCGATATGAGCGCCTCATATTCAAAGCAGGCAGGCAAAAGAAGACAGGAAGCCAATCCGGAAGACAATGCTGAAGAAAGGAAACGACTTAAACCAACCATCGACCTGACATCACCACTGTGTACGGGATGTCAAATGCTTGACATCGACAACGTCTTCGAAGCGGCCCTCAAGTACTACAAACGCAGAGTGGACGATCCAGACAAGAAGTCGAAGCTCTACGAAGCTTCCGATGGAAGGCACTTCTACGCTGATGCAGTTTCGGTGCATCGGTTTGGCACGAGGTTGTCCAAGCCATCAGATTGTCCCTTGTGCGACTTCCTTCGATCTGTCAGAGTCGAGCCAGATGTACATGAATGCTACAAACTACTTGCGTTCCGTAGCAGCGATGCTTGGCTCTTCAATGCAGATCGGGTGAGAAACGCGTTTAAAGAACCCGACTTCCTCGAGGAACGCCACGAAACAGTGTTCATGGCAGTCGTGCCAGATATAGAGTCGATCCCAACAACCGGACACGATGCCACATGGCTAGACTACGAGATTCCGGCTGTAGGGGCCATCTTCTACAAGCCGGCTGACAAGCCTAGCGACTTTCTCAGCCAGAACCTGCTGGGAGCAAGAGAGCTCAACGGTTCATTCGATCTTGAGCGGTTACGGGGTTGGCTCGATTACTGTCGCAGCGGACACGGTGTCGCTTGCAAACAACGTGCATCGGAAGAACCGGTAGCCAGAGGCTTTCGTCTGATCAACTGTACCAAGGATCCTCCCGAGGTTGAAGACAAGCCGTGGGGAACTCCGTACGCTGCTTTAAGCTATGTCTGGGGATCTACGCCCGCCGATCTGGAAGACTGGCCGGCGACTGTCATGGACGCAGTCGAGGTCACACGCAAGCTCGACTTTACCTATCTGTGGGTGGATCGGAGCTGTATAAACCAGGCGGATTCAGAAG